CAAGCTTTATTGAATCTTCAAATATGGAAAAGGTGCTTTGTGGCGACCTTTCACACTATAGTATGCCTCACAGATCTCAAGAAATACAATAGGAGGGAGAGAGAATATAGAGATGCGACACAAATCTCAAGAAATATAATAGAAGGGAGAGAGATAGAGAATTTTCGTGCTCAAAGGAGTCTTATTCGAAATTTCTCTGGCCGCCCTGAGAACTGTGCCCGAGTCTTTTATTTATAGGCATTAGAAGGGGCCTAGAACGGCCCGTTCTGGGCTAATCCGTTGTGGGTAAAATAAGACACTGGAACGACCCGTTCTGGGTTCAAATTTTACTTACACAAAACTGTTCTGGAACGACCCGTTCTAAACTAGGGGAACGGCCCGTTCCAGTTTTAGAACGGCCCGTTCTGGGCAAGTTTGTTATAGGTAAAATAAGATTCTAGAACGGCCTGTTCCTAAAGTGGAACGACCCGTTCTGGGTTCAAATCTTGCTCATAACAACCTGTTTTGGGACGACCAGTTCTATTTTGGGAACAGCCCGTTCTGGTCTCAGAACAGCCCGTTTTGGACTATCAAAAATAGTTGATTTTGGGCCCTCTGATGTCCTATCTTGTTGCTTGTATGCCCCCGTACGAAATTGGGTGTTTACATTCCCACACCCCCGAGCGAGGTTTCTCACTCCCCCTCTTACCTGGATAAACTGAAGATGAAGCTAGAGCAGAATCTGGCTAATCTCCTTCTCTTGGTTCTCCTTGGTCTCTAAAGAGTGTGTTGAGAAATAATGTCAGAGTGCTTTATTTATAGATTTCCGGAGTGGCCAGAATGGCCCGTTTCAAATCCAGAACGGCCCATTCTGGATCATTTTAGCATGTGTAAACTTGACATCTAGAAGGACTCATTCTGAGTTTGCGTTTTAACACACAATGTCCATATTTGTAACGGCCCCCCAACTAGGGTTATAGGGCGTTTTGGTGGTTTGGAACGACCCCTTCTAGTTTGGGAACGACCCGTTCTGGGCAACCAAAAATAGGTCTTTTTAGTAGTTTGGAAGGGCCCGTTCCAATTTGAGAATGGCTCGTTTTGGGCTACTAAATTACCCTCAATAAATCTTATAAAAATTACTAAATTACCCTTCATAAAAAGTATGAAAATTGGGGTGTTACAATTCTCCCCCCCTTTTAGAAATTTCATCTTCGAAATTTACTGAACACTTGAACGGATGAACTTCATGGGTCTTGCTCTCTACTACCAAATAGCACTTTCCTGAATATTTCTCATCATGCTTCCGCTGCGCCACTCTGATGTAGAAACTATACTAGTAGAAAATCACGTGTAACCTCACTACCTCACTGATGTACAATTCTATCAATTTTCCTAAGGAATATCTATCATCAATAAGGTAAGACAAGCAAACTTGGTGAGTCTATCCACTATAACCCAAATTTTGTTCTTGCACCTCAAAACAACGTCGATTCCTACTCAGAAAAGGTTATCTATACTCCTACCAATCTTCTCCACTTGGTTCACTAAGAAAGGATTTGACTCTTGGGCTTCTCTAATCTCATCCATTAATTCACTAGTCATTTTCAACATAATCAATTCAATTCTCCTAAGGGTAATCTTACACACCAAGCTTAAGTCTCTAAACTCTTCAATCAAATCCAACCTTTAAATCATAAAAATGATAGATGAATGATCATCCTACTCAAGGCATCTGTCACAATATTAGCTTTACTTCTATGATCCTCTCTAAAGATCAAACACCTAAGCATAAGTTCACTAGGTACACATACTCGGTCTCAAAGTCTTACTACTCCATCTATACCTAAGGCATACTCTTATCCATTACCTTGTCCTATAGCCTCATATCTTGTCACCAAAATGAATCAACTAATTATGCTTCTCCAATTTCTTTCCATGATCACTTGTTACTCGACTCATACCTAGTTTCACATTACTAGGAGTAATCTCACCAATCAAACTTAAATCCCTAAGTTGAGCCCAAAGATCCATCTCTCTAATCATAAGGGAAGATAAATATAAAAGTTTCCTACTCAAAACATCAGTTACCACAATGGATTTGGCCAAAAAACAAATAAGATCAAAATCTTATTCCTTAAGAAATTCCAACTATCCCTTTTGTCTCATATTCAACTCCTTTGATCAAGATATTTAAGGCTCTTATAATCACTAAATACCTCAAGCTTAGAATCATATAGGTAGTGTCTCCAAATCTTAGTATAAATATTACAACCGCTAACTTAGAGTCATGGGTAAGGTAATTCCTCTAATGAATTTTCAATTGCCTAGAAACATAAGCTACTACTCTTCCTTCTTGCATCAACACTCCATCCAAACCCCTCTTAGAAGCATCACTATATACAACATAAGACTTACTAAAATCCAGTAATATTAACACTAGTCAATCTTTCCTTAAGAGTTTGGAACCTACTCTCGCATTTGCCATCTTACACAAAGGCAACTCCTATCCTAGTCAATCTGGTTAAAGGTACGACTATCTTATAAAATTTCCCCGATGAACCTCCTATATTACTCATCTAACCCAAGAAAACTCACAATCCTCACTAACTGACTTAGATATCTCCCACTTAAATACAACTTTTTCCTCAGATAGATCTACGTTATACCTCCGCTAGAAATTACTAGACCTAAAAAAAACTCACCTCATACAATCAAAAATAATACTTAGATAACTTAGTATAAAGATATCTTGGATATATCCTCATCCTCAACTCCAATATGATGATATCACTCCCTAAGGTCAATCTTACTAAACACCCAAACACCCGCTAATTAATGCATAAGGTCATCTATCCTCGTATCAACATACACGCATATCAAATCAAAATCTAAACAAGATACAAGAAAATCCAACTTTTGGACACAAGAGACAAAAATAAAGTAATTAGTTGCACTAGAATCAAACAGTACAATAAAAGAAGTCTCAGCTATAAAATAAGCACCTTGTATCAAATTTTCTGACCGAGCATCTTCAGCACCATCAAAAGCAAATACTCTCCCTATAGCCTTTGGACGCTCAACTTGGACATCCGATCCAGTAACACGTGGTCTTGGTAGTTCAGGACACTGGGTGCTGATGTGACCCTTTCCTCTATAATTGAAACATGTGACATCCTTGTCAAGACAATCATAGCTAGTGTGACCACGTCGCCCACACTTCTTG